GGGGGGCGGGGGGGGAGCGCTAGCTTCGCGTCTCCCTGGTCTGCTGCGGGGAAGCAGCTAGTACAGGGTTGCCTCACCCTGTTTGTAAGTAGGGATCCGATGTAAGTCGGATCCATGTAACCCGGGGACTGCCTGTAGTCCAAATATCAGAAGCAAGGCTAAATCCAGCCCTTTGATATTCTGCATTTTAATATTTCTCCATTGTCTCTCCTGGCAAGTTTTCTCAAAACAAGGACTACATAACCTGTTTCCATGGGTGTTGTTTTTTTTTTTTTAAGAGGAAGTTCTTTTAAAAGTTAATTCAAAATTTTTTAAAAAGTGAGACCTGCTTGGTGCACTGACCCTTCAGAAGCCCTAGGCTAGTATCTCAAAAATTCAGGGACAAGTAGGAAAAGAGAGTGTGCTAGGAAACTTTGAAAATTAAAAGGAGAAGGAAAGAGCGCTACAATTAAACAAGAATGAATCTGTTTACATTTGATATAGAGCTTAAATGGCAATTCTCTAAATAGTCATTTTCGTTGAGACTATGCAAACAAGTCCTAAAGGGGAGCAAGGATCTCTTCTCCTGTTGAGATGAGAGAGAAATATGGTTATAGGTTTTTTTATTCAAAAATTATTCAGTTACATTTTATTTAGCATAAATAGTTACAAATGTTTATTTTCAATTTTTTAAAAAATTAAAACAAACTTCTGCTTTATTAATAAATACTGTGGAATATAAACATGAAGGAAATAAATCCTGAGTGGCTGTTCAAGATTGAATTTTAGATGTCAGCAGCTCTAGTTTTGGAATTAGAAACGGTCTAGGAAAACAGGATTAGAACCAAAGAAAGAAATTGGCAGGTAACTTTTCTTTTAAGAGAGGGGGACAAAAACAAAAATGTGTGGGGATAAAATTCTGGTAATATATTTCTATCTCGGTATACCTTGCCTGCATACTGGGGATTTTGTGTCTCTTGACTTTCAAATATATGCAGTGCTGTTAGTCTTATTCACGGCTAGATTTATAGTATTTGGAACACAGATCAACATTTATAAATAAACTTTTAGTGTTGATGTAGACAAAACGAACTATATATCAAAAACCAACTTTAAAAGAAACATCCCTGTCAGTTCTTTAGGATCACATTTTTTAGTTTTGAAATGAGATACTGTGGTAATACACTTAAACATAAAACTGTGACTGATAGGAAGCAGTTATATTTGTGGTTGAAAACCAGTTAAATATCCCAAATGAAATGTATGGATACCTTTTATCTTGACCAAAGACAAATTGGTAAGTAGTCTTCAGTGTTAAATTTGTTTCCTTAGGTGCATAGGCAGGTGGGAGATACAGGCCCCAATCCTGCAGTCAGATCTTAGATGTGCCTCAGGTGAACACAGTTGTAGGTCTTTGTCAAGGACTAGGGAGGCTTGTTCAGGAAAAATGTAAACCATTGTCTACAAATTGAGTCTTTTGGCAATTGTTCAAAACACATCCATGGAGATCTAACCAAAGTTTAGATCTAATTTCATTTTTTCAGTAGCGTACAAAGAAAAATGTACTACTATGGATTCTCCTTATTTTGTCAACTATATGTTAACTGAAGTGTATACTATGTATATACAAACATCATCGCTTGTACATAACATAAATACCCTCCTGTCTCATCCTATTCCAAACCTAAACATCTGCACTTCAGTTAAACAGCTGTAACTTGGCTTGAGTTTGTTGGTACAAGCCAGCCATGGGTTTTTAATTGCAGTGTAGTCACACTTATATAGCTGAAGACCAGAAAGGACTATCAGGTCCTCTACTATGACCTACTGTACAATAGAGGCCACTAATCACTATCCAGTTACCCTTGAATTGAGCCAAGCAACACGAATTAGACTAAAACATTAGCGTTCCAGATACAAGATCATTACATGCCTTGAGCAGAGAACAGGAAGGACGGGGTTTACCATCGCCCAAAGCCTTCTCGAGGGAAGGTGGTGCTAGTGGGGGCAGATTAGGGATGTTAAATATCGATTAATTGAATAGTCAAGTAACCTCACGAATTCTTATCAGTTACTCGACTTCTATAGTCCAAAAGGGCAGGGCCGGCAGCCAGTGTGCTCCAACCTCACTCCTGAGGAGCCCCCTGCCACTCCGCGCTGCTGGCTCTGTATCAGAGGCAGCAGTGCAGGGTGCCAGGTGGGAGCTGGTCTGCGAGGGGAGCCAGTTTAAAAATCAGCTCCTCTCGTGGACCAGCTGCCTGTTGTCCTGTGCCTCTACCACTGATAGAGGAAACAGCATGGGGTGGCAGCAGCCTGTTTGGGGTGGATCTGAGCTCCCAGACCCAGTGTGAGCTGGAACTGAGCCGGGCTGCCTGCCCACCTGGCTCCTAATACACTTTAAATGCAGAGCTGCAGTGGGGCTAGATCCCAGACTCAGTGTGAGCCAGGATTGAGCCAGGCTGCTGGCCAGCCTGCTAAGAAATGTACTGGCAAGAGGGGCAGGACAATGCATGTAATCTATAGTATTAACCTATAAGCTTTTGCTTATCGGTTAATTGAGTACACTATTACATCCCTAGTGCAGATATAACACAAGTTCTTCGCTAATCAATTCTATGCTTGACTTTACATTGTTCTCATAGTACGGCTGTTATTGGGGGGCCTGGGCTTGTCTCTTTCAGCACATATAGCACTATAAGTGTGAAACTTGTTAATAGAATAAATCTGTATGTAAAATCCGAAATTCTGCCAACAATTTGGAAATTAAAGAAACAAATACAAAATATCCTAAAAAATGATGAGTTGGACTGGAAATTACACGATGTAATTTCTACTCCAACTCATCTGATGAAGTGGGTTTCACCCATGAAAGCTCATGACCTAATAAATTTGGTAGCCTCTGAGGTGCCACTGGACTGCTCATTGTTTTTAAAGTTACAGAATGACACAGCTATCCCTATGAGATATCAAAATATCTACTAGTAATTCAAGACTATTACATTGAAAAAGAACTAGCAACATGTACATACAATATTTTGATTTACAAAAATCATGATTTAAATAAAAATGTTTCTTTATGTTTTTAGCCTTGTGTTCTAGTTACTTGGGGAGTAGGATGACTCCTGGCTTTTTGGGGGTAGGGGAGAGGGCGGGCTCTAATTTACAGTTAGGCTGGTCACATGTAGGGATGTTAACAGGTAAGTGGTTACCTGGTATCTGGGGAAGTAGTGTGGGCAGAAGGCTACTGCTGGCAGCCCGGCATGGGGCCAGAAGGCAGTGTTGCACAGAAGAGGGCCCGGAAGCGGCAGCAGCTATGCTAGCCACATGTGGGCTGGAAGCAGGTGGGCTGGAGCTGCCCCTCCCCCCACCTGCTCCTGGTGACAAACAGTTAACCTGTTAATTAATTAAATTGGATTTTACATAAATACATCATTTTTTGTGCCTCAGTTTCCTCTTCTCTGCAGGATATTCAGATATTGTTAGGACAGTGTCAACTTGAAAAATAACAGCTCCATTTAAAAATGTTGTGCCTATTTTTTTTCAAGTAACCATCAGATTACTGTAATCGAAGAATGTTAAAGGAAAACTAATAAGCTTACAGGAAGTGCTATTCATTCACCAGAGTGCAGTCCGTTTCAATGTCTCATCAATGCTAAATACCCATCCCTCCTCAAGTTCTGCAGCAGAGTTGATCATTAATAGAAATAGCAATTTTTTTAAAAGGGATTAAAAAAAATGGGAATGTACTATTTACAAGGTGCTGTAATTTAAAAATAATGTGTCTTTAAATGCTAAAATGAACTAATGTGCTCTTGGTTTTTTATGTTCTTGGCAACCCTAATGAGCATGTACTTTAAAACTATGGTAGTGTCATCCTATATGGCCAGCACAATATGCTTAAATAACTTTGTAGATGTGCAGTATGTGTTGTTACACTTCTGTAGTAGCCACTATCAAAAATTCAATATAATGAAAGTTACAAATGAAGGAAAGTGTTTAAACATATTTAGAGTAGGCAAAAACCAGACAAGATGCTGCTTTTGTAAACTGCTTCTATCCAAACCATTCAGTACAATATCAGAATGAAAAATGACAACACTTTGTCATCTGTTCAAATTGATATTACACTCTTTGCAGTGACAGCTGAAAAGGCCCACAGGTGCCATATAAAGAGGTGACCATGTTGTCATATTTCATTTAGGCATCCCTCTGCAAAGCCATAATTACCTAATTAGGTTGTTAATTAGGAGATTAGCATTTCACTATATTGATAGAATGCTCTTTGCAGGCATGAGTCTAGATACAGATTTGTCTGCTCTAATTTATAATCTCTGCATTTTTTATACTTATTTATTTGCTTAAATCTTGATGTGGGATAACTCTGTTTAGCAAAGTAACAGTTTGTTTACAGTCAAATGAAGCTTTGAAAAGACCACAAAACAAATAGTGGAGACGGGAGGTCCAATTTTCTCTCTCTCCAATCCCTCTTTACCTCCATGACACAGTAAACAAGATATTTCAGTTGGTATCATTTGTGTCCTGATTAGTATGACCGCAATAGTAGCATTCCAAACAGTCCACAAATACAGAAATAAAATATTTGATGTAAAACAGGTTTACTCGTTCCTACACTAGCAAGGATTTTTAAAGGTATTTGTAATAAATGTACTTGCATCATATTTTTTAATCCAGTTTTCTTTTAAAACCACTTTAAATGGAGATTTAAATTATTTTATTTAAATATAGAAACCAAAGGATTAGTAACGGCTATTCTAACAGCATTCAGTTTTAAATATAGCTGAGCATTTGAAATATTAAGTTTTTACACATTATCCTGCACATATAGGATTCTCAAATGTTTATATTCTGAATACTTTTCAAGACTTTTTAATATTTATAGGGAGGTGAAATATTTGAATTTGATACTCTACCAGAGGTTGAAGACTACGAAGAGGAAAGGTTGTTCCTGTGCTTGTGAGAAAGTAGGTATCCAGAGCTCATTTTTTGTAAGTGGAGGCAGTATTCACTGTGAAATTATTTTGGATTACCTGAACCAATAAACTATTGAAGTGTGTGCAGCTAATGTGCTGTTGGGGAAATGAATTCTGCTTTACTAATCTTTTCCTTTTTGTGTTGGCCTTTAAAACTCACTTTAAAAGCTGCCGACAGATGGAGTTGTGAAAGTTGTGGGATTGTGGAATGACTCAAACGTAGGATCATGTAATGTTGTGTTGTTTCTTTCAGACTGCTGCATTCTGAGATGGAAAGAATTGCTTTATATTCATAACGTTCTTTGGAGAAGTTCTGTGAGGTTTCAAGTTTGATTTTTTTTCCCCTTTCAAACCTAATTCTTTTTAATTTAAAAACTTTAAAATTACCCTTCTGTCTGAAAATTGCCTAAAATTACTGAAATAGAACAAATTAGAGCAAAGAAATAATTTTTTCTCTTCAATTTTTCTACAAAAGAGACATTTTTTTTAAAAAAAGTAAAATACCTGTAATAGAATTGGCAGACAGAGTCTGGCTGGCAATCTGAAACTACCTTTAACTTGAAACCAGGACAATTACAATATATCTTATTAAAACCACAATACATTTATTTTAAAGAGGTGTCTTCACAAATATCTTGGTTTTGTTAGCAACGACTTGAGCTTAAATGCAGCATAACCTTATTTATTAAACTATTGAACTAAAATGGAGTTGTCTCGTACACTCAGAATTGAAAATAGTTCCTGGTCCACAACTGTATTCTTATTTGTCAGTTCTGTTGGGCTGTGTGCTCTGACTAAAGCTTTTGTCTGAATAAATGTGGTATGGTTATTTTTTTTTAACCTTGGGCTACATCTACATTGGCAAGATTTTGCGCAAATACTCTTTAACGCAAGAGTTTTTGCGTTAGAGTATTTGTGCAAGAGAGCATCTACATTGGCATGTGCTTTTGCGCAAGAGCATCCGTGCCAGTGTAGACGCTCTCTTGTGCAAGAAAGCTCTGATGACCATTTTCACCATCGGGCTTTCTTGCACAAGAAATTAATGTTGCCTGTCTACACTGGCCTCTTGTGCAAGAACATTTGTACAAGAGGGCTTATTCCTGAGCAGGAGCATCATAGTTCTTGCGCAAGAAGCCCTGATTTCTTACATTAGAAGATCAGTGTTCTTGCGCCAGAACTCGCGGCCAGTGTAGACAGGCAGCAAGTTTTTGTGCAAAAGCACTTGCTTTTGTGCAAAATCTTGCCAGCTGTCTACACTGGCCACTTGAATTTCTGCAAGAACACGGACGATCTCGTGTAAGAAATCAGTGCTTCTTGTGGAAATACTATGCTGCTCCCGTTTGGGCAAAAGTCCTTTTGCGCAAAAGCTTTTGCACAAAAGGGCCAGTGTAGACAGCTCAGATTTGTTTTGCGCAAAAAAGCCCCGATCGTGAAAATGGCGATCGGGGCTTTTTTGCGCACAAGCGCGTCTAGATTGACACAGACGCTTTTCTGCAAAAAGTGCTTTTGCGGAAAAGCATCCGTGCCAATCTAGATCCTCTTTTCCGCAAATGCTTTTAACAGAAAACTTTTCAGTTAAAAGCATTTGCGGAAAATCATGCCAGTCTAGACGTAGCCATAGAGTATAACAATTTGTTCTAATGATTCTTAGTCATTCAGAGCATGGGGATTGCATGATCACTGTACAGTTATCTCAGTAGCCCAACTGAATTTGCAAATCTATTCTAGCTACTATGAAATTGTCATTCAAGCTACTGCCCTCAGAACTCAGCAAAAGCATGTTTGCAGCAAACATGGCTACCCTGACGTCAAACCATTGCCTGATTCTTTGCCTAATCCCAGATATTAAATTCAATTTACTTTTACAATTAATTTCTGTTATATAGGTCACTGGCAGGTAAGTTTCTCTGAGGGAGCAGGGAAAAGCAGAAAAGAGATCCTGAAGTTAAATGGATAGGGTGGTCATAACGTAGCCCAGCTGTTTGTGCAGCCATATGGATGGGGAGTTCTCCTTCAGGAATATTCTGATGGTGTTGCCAGCTCCCATGATATTTGATACTCCTCCTGTGGCTCTTGCTACATTTCAAAGGCAGAGGTGCAGCAGGGAACTTGGACAGAGGAGGCAGTGGTAGCAGGGACTGCTTCTGGGACCAGGCGCAAGCTGGGACAACTAATTCTCATCTTGCTCCCAGTCCCTCGCTGCGCCTCTGTCTCCCTTGGGGAGACGGTGCTGGGGGAACGAACTTTTAAGCTGGCTCCCCTAGCTCCTGCTCCTTCTCCTCCTCTCCCCCCCCCGATAGAGGCAGCAAGCAAGGGGAAGCGGCCAGCTCAGTAGTGACTCAACTAGTTGCTAACATCCCTAGAGAGAATAGCCCAAAATAAATGTGTGGTGGGTTGTGTGGGGGAAATCTCGCTCCCCTGGGGTACAGAGCCCCCAGAAGGGTCTGAGGCTGGAGGTCAAAACAGTGAGGCAGGAGAGAAACCTAGAAGGAAAAACTTTATTATGCATGCATGCAGGCTGTCACATCCAAGAGTGAAAGCAGCCCTGAGATACAGGTTTAGGGATCCTTTATACAGAATGCTTAGACAGTTCAGTTGTTGATTGTTTTCTTTAACATATCAAAGTCTCAGCAGAAGTACTCTGAGATGTTTCTGTTCACACCAGGCGTGCTAGAAGTAAGTTTTACAGAACAAAGCCATATGAGAACTTGAGTGGAGAAGTTTACAAGGCAAACTGTGACAAAGATAAGGGTTTACATGACAAATTGTGACAGACTAGGAGTATCCATGAACTTGAGATAGGCATTGTAAGGGTCTTGATTAGAGTTAATTTGATTTCTCTCTGATACAGGGAGAGAGGTCTGGAAAACTTTTAACCCTTACAGCAGTTTTCTTTTAGACAGTTTTGATTTCCTGCACAGACCCCCCTTTAGATCAATTGGAGTTATTTGATTTTTCTCCCACAACTGCCATTTCTCAGGTTTCTCTGCTTGCTTGCTTGCATGGGGCAGGAGGATGAGTCCAGGATGCCCCATGAATCCTACCCCTCACCTCTTTAAATTTTCCCAGGCTTTTGAAAGTCCCTTGTTCTGTTCCGTTGTCCCACTTTCTCTCCCTGCAGTGTAGCTTAGGATCTGTGGGATTTTTAAGGTGCTGTGGTGACTGATGTCTCTTGGGATCAGGAAAGAGTTTTTTCCCATTGGGCCATATTGGCAAGAAGTCTGGTGGTTATGTTTATTTTGTTTTTGTTTGCCTTCCTCACAGCATCATAGCGTTTCAGTTGGATTGGATGCAATAGGATTTAAACGTTTTGAGTAAAAAAGATTAAACCACTATCTCATTGCAACTAGTGACCAGAGCAGGGAAAGGCTAAAAAGGGCTTCCAGTGCTAAAAGAAACCTGGGCTTTTAGCCATTAGAAGTTGTGGTTATATGAAGGAGACCTGAAATCTTTGTGGCCTTAGTTGCACCCCCACCTTGGTGGCCTCTCTGGTACCATGCCCCTGCAATAGGGGGATAAGGGAGGCTTTACCATGATGCTATGTCTCGGGGTAGGTCAAGGAGGGGGTCCCGGTGGACACTGAGTTATGGTGTGAATGGAGCCCAATAACCGGCACTTGAACCAGTGCCTAGTATGTGCGAATAGCAGGCAGGCAAGTTGCACAGTTACTAGTTAATAAAGTTGTATCTTAAATCCATCCCATAGATACCTTTTATTCCTTAACCTGCATATCTTGGGTCAAACTCAAGTCTTAGACTCAGTATCAAAATATAAACAAAGCTCATCACCTAATAAACCATCTTGTTAGTCTTTAAAGTGCTACATAGTCCTGTTTTTGTTTCAGCTAGACTAGACTAACACGACTACGTCTCTGTTACTAAAATATAAACAAACATACACATTTTATATTAAAAAAACATGTGCATTTGAAGCCAATCTTGTGCTTTAGGGGGACCTGATTCATGATATTTGTACAGACTAGGTCGTTTGTACTGATAGCTTGAGCCCTGCACAGATAAAAAAATTATCTGCATCTGTATCCGCAAAAATGAGCTGTGGATATCTGCATTGACGTCCATGGATGCCATACCATGGATATAAAGTGGATATCTGCAGATTTGCAGAGCTCTGAATACTAAATTTGTATCTACAAAAATAAGATGCAGATATCCATGATCTATCTTCTGGTTTCAGTGATAGCCATACCCTGCATTTAAGAAACTAGCTAAGATTTGAGCATACGTCATTTTACAACTCCGCTTTGGAGTCTGAGGTCTGTTTGACCCATAATACCTTTAGTATCTCATAAACTGTTATCTAAATATATACACAATTCCACAACACATATATTTTACTTAGAAATTGACATTTCACTAACAAGTTTATAATAATAAAAGAGACATTTGAAATCTGGACATGTTTTTGTAATTAGCTATTCTCTTGCCTAAGGATATTACACTGGCTTATCTTGGGGCCCGATAAAACTATTAGTTGAGAATCTGTCAGTGTTTTCATTATAAACTAAATGGGCATTGATAGATATGTTTCTTGAGATTCCTCAGAGCTCTAACAAGACATGCAAACTTTCAGTCCTTTTGCTATTTTACAAAAGAATCGTATAATGAAGCAGGTGGCATTGAATTTGAGTAACAGATCAAGCAGAGTGTGTGTGAGGGGGATCAGGCACATGTACACACACATTTTATAAAAAAATTTGTTGTTCAGTGTTGTGCTTATCAGAATATTTTATGATGGATATAAATTTCACTGTACTGTGTACAAACTTTAAATCACATGTCAGTTTGACTCAAGTATTAGAAGTTGGTATGTCAGTTGTAAAATCTTAAATGTAATTTTTTTCCCCACCAAAAGTGAGATCTTTCACAAAAAAGTTTGTGGTGAGCTGTAGCATAAATTGTAAACATTTTTCAGGATTTCCTGATCTGTTTTTCTATATTTATACTAGAAGGCATTGCCTGGGTCCTTCAGGG